CTGGGTGGCTCAGTTGGTGGAGCATCTGATTCTTGATTTCGGCTCAGGTCATGATCTTGTGGCTGTGAGATTGAGCCCTGCATTGGGCTCCTTGCTGAGCATGGAGCTTGGGATTCTCTCTCTCCCTCTCTCTCCCTCTCTCTCTGCCCCTTCCCTGCTGGTGTGCGTGTGCTCTCTCTCTCTCTCTCCAAATAAATAAACATTAAAAAAATGATTATCCTCCATAATATTGAATCTTTCCATCCATGAACAACAAGGCTTTATCTTCTCCTCTGAGGTCTACTTTAAAGTTTTGATCAAGTTTTGTAATTTTTCCCCTAAAGCTTTGATACATTTCATTAAATTTATTCCTGGTTACACTAGAATTTTTATCATGATTGTAAATTATACGTTATTTTAAATTTGCAGTTTCCTCATCATGTCTTCTTATCACTCTGAAATTCAGCAATTTTGCATAATGTTCTCCTTATTAAGAATGTTTTTCTACAGAGACAATCATATAATTTGCAAATGATAAAATTTTTTTCCTTTCTAAATAAACATTTGTTCTGTGAGCTAAGACATCCAGTTCTATATTGAATACAAGTGTTGATAAAGGATCATTTTATTGCTAAGTAGGACACTTGCTGTAGAGTTTTTGTGGACATACTTTGTCAACTTAATGCAGTTTTTTTCTAGTCTGAGTTTGCTATGTGTCTGTATGTGTCATACTTTAATCATGAGCCAAAACTGGATTTAATCAAACACATACACATCTATTGAGATGATCATATAATAAATTGCATTACTATTCTAATTTTATTATTTTTTATTTTTTAAAGTTTATTTATTTAGTTGGGGCGGGGGAGGGGCAGAAGAGAGGGAGAAAGAGAATCCCAAGCAGGCTCTGTCCTGACATGGGGCTCGAACTCACAAACTGTGAGATCATGACCTGAGCTGAGATCAAGAGTCGGATGCTTAACAGATTGAGCCACCCAGATGTCCCTGACACATATCTTTATTAATCTAACTAAACTGCTCAAAGTGTTCTTTTTCAGGTTTGCAGTTTTAGTTACCTATGGAAAATGAAGTTTTAGATCTATTATACCCACCCACATCTGTCTCCTGCACACCCATTCCCCCATTTTATATACATTTTTTAAATGTTCATTTATTTTGAGAGAGAGAGAGAGAGAGAGAGAGAGAGAAATGGTGGGTGGGAGAGGCCAGAGGGAGAGAGAGAGAGAATCCCAAGGAGGCTCTGTGCTGTCAGTGAGGAGCTTGATTCAGGGCTCAATCCCACAAACCATGAGATCATGACCTGAGCTGAAATTAAGAGTTGGATACTTAACCGACTGAACCACCCAAGTGCCCCCATTTTACATACATTTATATCACCATTTTGGATACAAATAAATCTCAGGGTTTATATTGTTGTGCCCATGTAAATATCATTCACAGGTGAGTTATCTAGTGCACCAGGATTTCATCTTTCATGAACATCTTTCTCCCCTTGAATTGAAACTAGCCTCAATTTTTCTTTGAATAATTTTTATTTCAATCATTAATTTATCTTCACATTTTTTTTTCCTGATAGAACTGAAAATCATCTCTGAACATGTTAACTACATCAGGTAGTCTATTGGTTTGGTTTTCTTTTAAAAACTTAAGTTGAATGCTTACTCATTAATTTTCCATTTTTTTTACTGAACGATACATACTTTATATTATGAATTTCCTTAGAAGTACTGACTTAACTATAGTCCTTAAGTTTTATATACAGCATTTTTATTGGAATTAAGTACTAAAAATTGGACATTCCTATCACTACTTTTTCTTTGACCCATGGGTTAGTTAGAAGTGTGTATTTAAAAAATTTCCAGGCATACAAGAGGATGGACACTGAGTTGTATCATGTTATTTTTGTTACTGATTTCTAATTATATTCAGGGAAGGTGGCCTGCTTGGTACAGAGTTTTTGGTACTTGTTGAGACCTGCTTTTTGGCTTACTACCTGGCAAATTAATGTGAATATTGCATATTTTCTTAATAAGAATTTCTCTAATTTGGGGGAGAAGAATTCTATATGTTATAGGGTCAAATTCGTGAATAGTGCTCAAATGTTTAATGTCTTATTAACTTTTGGTCGATTTGATCAAATAATTGCTGAGAGAGTGTTCAACCATCTATTTTTATTGTGAATTTGTCAATTTCTTCTTATAATTCTATAAGGATTTTCTATATTATTAGGCTATGTTATTGGCTGTTCATTAGTTCAGAACTTTTTTTTTTTTTTGGTATTTCTGGTAAGTGCTTCATTTTCTGATTAGTAGTGACTGTTGTTATTCTCAAAAAGTGCTTTACAGAGCTAAAGTAGATTTTGGTTAGCCTTTTTCAGGCATATCTTTTTATTTTTAAAGTTTCTTCAATTTTGTTGTTTTTTGTTTTTTCAAACTCTTTGCTGTAGCCTCATACTTTTTACGTGACTCTTATATTCAGCATATAATTGAATTTTTAATAGTTTTACTCTGAAAAATCCTGTTCTTTTTTTTAAAAAAATTTTTTTTTTCAACGTTTATTCACTTTTGGGACAGAGAGAGACAGAGCATGAACGGGGGAGGGGCAGAGAGAGAGGGAGACACAGAATCGGAAACAGGCTCCAGGCTCTGAGCCATCAGCCCAGAGCCTGACGCGGGGCTCGAACTCACGGACCGCGAGATCGTGACCTGGCTGAAGTCGGACGCTTAACCGACTGCGCCACCCAGGCGCCCCTGAAAAATCCTGTTCTATAAAGGAGAGTTTAATACATTCATACTTATTGTAATCAGTGATATATTTGGATGTATTTCTCCTACTTAATTTTGTGAGTGTTTAAAAACTTATTGTGCTTCTTTCTCTCTTCCTTCCTTTCCTTTCTTTCTTTCTTTCTTTCTTTCTTTCTTTCTTTCTTTCTTTCTTTCTTTCTTTCTTTCTTTCTTTTCTTTCTCTTTCCTGCCTTCTAGTGGACTGATAAATGTTTTAACAATCCTTCCCCATGCCCTGCACCAATACTGATCTGAAAGTAATCTTTATATTACTTATACTTTTAGTTATTACCCTTACATTGTTAACATGATTAGTTGGCTAAAAATTATTATGAGTTAACAAGAATGTTTCTCTACCCTCTTCCTGGGTGGTAAAGGATCTTAGGAAGTTTCACATGAATTCTCCTTTATTTTCCATCTTATGTGTTGGGATTGTCCTGCATTTGGATTTTACCCTATGTTTATACCCCTACGTGTTCATTATTATTGTTTACATAGTTAATCTTGATTTAGATTTTTCTCGCACTTGCCATTCTCTTTTCTCACATTACTTCTTGTGATGTGTTTCTCCTTTCTGGATTTTGCCTCCTTCTTCCTGCATTTTATCTTTTAGCAGGGCTCTTAAAGTGCTTTGTACATAGGATCCTCAATAAATATTTATTAAATAAATTAACTTAATCAAATGCAATAGTTTAAACTACACTAGGTGTCTAGTTTGTATATTAGGGTGATCGGTAGATCTTGCCTCATTTACCAGACCGCTAGATAATCAGACACTTGATTATTAGGGATGGGGGACGGAGCACATTACCTGGTTTTTGTTAATACCATGAATCAAGAGTGGGATAGAGAGCACCCAGGGCCTTAGCACTCTCCACTCTTCCTTAGTATGTTTCTCTAGAATTCTCTTTTTTTTTTTTAAGTTTTCTTTTTTAACATTTATTTATTTTTGAGACAGAGAGAGGTAGAGAATGAGCAGGGGAGGGGGAGAGAGAGAGAGAGATACAGAATCTGAAGCAGGCTCCAGGCTCTGAGTTGTTTGTTAGCACAGAGCCCGACGCGGAGCTTGAACTCACAAACTGCAAAACCATGACCTGAGTTGAAGTTGGACGCTCAACCGGCTGAGCCACCCAGGCACCCCTCTCTAGAGTTCTTTCTAAATCTAGTGCCACTGTTTTTCAGCATAAGCTTCTGGCCTCCATTTTCTTCTTTCCTACTTGGACCAGACACTTGCCCCATCTGAGAAAGCCACATGGAAAGCAGCTTCCTCCTAGGGCAGAGGTACCTACTGGCTAAGTGTGTAGGGCCCAGGTCAGATGAGCAGGGATTTCATTCCCTCTCTAGCACTTATTAGGCAAGTTAACTGACCACTCTTTGACTCAGCTATCTCATCTGTAAAATAGGGATAGTAATGCAATTATATCCACACTTTGTTGTGAGACTTGAATGGGTTAATAATATACACTCGAACAGTGCTAACACCTGTTAAGTACAACCTTGAGTACGGTTGTTGTTGTTGCCTGTGCCACTTCTCAGCTCCCTCCACCCCTTCACTGGCTCTGGATGCTGAGATTGAATATGATTGTTCAGTTTGGAGTCTCATGTAGGTCCATGATGATAGAACATACAGACATGCAGACAACCAAGGGGTTTCATATAAGATATGTATTCAGGTTTTCCTCTGTGCTTTAAACAAAGCTGTCCCAAGCATCATATCCTACATAAAGCTATATTTTCTTTAAGGGTTAAATTTTGAGGGAAAATTCTCATTTTAGGTTCAACTTGATTCCAAAGATTGATTCATTTATTGATTGATTCAATAAGTATTATTCAAGGCCCAATACTAATAACTATAGGCCCCAAACCATTCTTTTTTTTTTTTTAATGGTTATTTATTTATTTTGAGAGAAAGAGAGAGAGCACACAAACAGAGGAGGGGCAGAGAGAGGAAGAGAGAGAATCCCAAGCAGGCTCTGTGCTGAGAGTGGTGCTTGATTCCATGAACTATGAGATCATGACCTGAGGCAAAATCCAGACACTTAACTGACTGAGCCACCAAGGTGCCCCTGGCCCCAAACCATTCTTACTTATAATTTGAATCCATTGTCATAATGTGTTGAATCATATTTAACTTTTTTATTTGATGAGTGGGACACCCACATAGGTGTGGTAATAGTTATATTAAACATAAATACATAATTTCTTTGATTCTTCTAGTATGTAAAGAGTTCCTGAACCGATTCTATAACTCCCTGATAGCCAGAGGAGTCAACTTTTCCCTGGACACCATAGAAAAGGAATTGGTCAGCTTTTGCTTGGATGTCAAAGGAAAAGAAAACCGCCTGGTATGGTACATTTTCACCGTTCATTTTTCCCTTATGCTTGAAGAAAAGTGTTAATGGCTTCGTTTCTCATCTTAGTCTTCATGTCTCCTGCTTAGATGCTTGCCTCAAGGATGTTCACTGTAGATAGCAAGCAGAAATTGGTCTTCCAGTGAAGTGTACTCATGTATTTTCATCTAGAACCTATCTGGTTTCATTTTGCTTTCTGAGTAAACCATAGGCAACCAGTTCCACGTTTTAAGTAAATTCACACAAATTCCTAATGACAAATTTCTGTCCTGGGTTGAGTGGGTAGACTTTCTCTTTCTTATCAAGACTATTACAGGGGTGCCTGGGTGGCTCAGTTGGTTGGGCGCCCAACTTCGGCTCAGGTCATGGTCTCACAGTTTGTGGCTTCGAGCCCTGTGTCAGGCTCTGTGCTGACAGCTCGGAGCCTGGAGCCTGCTTCGGATTCTGTGTCTCCCTCCCTCTCTGTTCCTCCCCTGCTCATGCTCTGTCTCTCTCTCTCTCCTTCAAAAATAAATAAAAACATTTAAAAAAATTGAAAAAAAAAAGACTATTAGTGAAACCTATCAAAACATTTTTATAACATCATTCATAACTAATTCTTTATATTATTTTATAATGGTGTTTTCTGAGTATCCAAAGATGACTTATTTCAACATAGTGTTTCACTTCACTACAGATAATTGTAGGCCAATCCATTTCGCCTAGAATTTTCGTGTTCAATTTGTCAGTTAAATCTGCATTATTGACTGTTCACCACTGACACATTGTAAACCTCTCAGCATTTATTTGTACCATTAAGTTTCATATTTTTAAGTGAAAGTGCTTAAGTTGGGCAGCTGGGAAGGCAGCATAGCATGATGGGGAAGGGTATGGACTCTAGAGCCAAAATGGTAGATTTTTCCATTCTGTCTCTTCTGCTTGCCAGCTGGGTGACCTTCAGTTGGCTTGGGTGTAAAATGGAGATAATTATAGTACTTACTTCACAGGATTGTTGTGAGAATTCACTAAGTTAAGACCTTTAAAGCCCTGAGAGCAGTGAGAGCAGCAGCACCTGACACAGAGAAAACACTTAGCAAGTGTCAGCCCTTATTAGTCTTTGAGCATCGTGTGAATCGCAGGGCACTTCTAATTAACATGATCACGGGGATGGAATCATTTGTTTTCTGGTGTCTTAGTCAGCAGGGGTTAAAATTTAATAGCTGGGCCATGAAAACTAGGTTAACCTCTCTCTCACTTCTCTGAACTATATTAACTTTTTTCCGTCACCCAGCGACACTAAATTATCTTTGTTCTCCGTCAGTGCTATTATCTGGGAGCGACGAAAGATGCAGCCACAAAGATCCTAAGTGAGGTGGCTCGCCCAATGAGCGTGCATATGCCTGCAACAAAGATTTGTGAGAAGCTTAAGAAGATGGACAGCCAGATCTGTGAGCTGAAATATGGTATAATGGAGTCAAATGTATTTTTCCACTATGTCCAAAGCATTGCCAATTCTCTACACCGAGGGCCCTGTTTCTAAAACGTGAATGTGGGAAGAGAAGGCATTCTCCACTGGCCAGTAGGTCGCTGGGCTGCTGAATGGTGCCTAGCGACATCCGAGCTCCTTTGGGGAAACAGAAAGGAGTAAAGCGCAATCAGCACTAGGTAGAACCGCCAACCCAGATAGCAACGTTTAATCTCTTACATCACCAAGGCAAGGCCAACTATGTCTGTCAAGGAAAAATTCAAAATGTAAAGGGAGCAGCTACTCATGGTGATTTAGCTCTTGGTAAGCTATTAAGGCAAAACGTTGCATCGATTCCAAGGTGATGTCAGGACTTTGTGGTTTTAAATATGACCATGACTTGTCCCCCTAGATTTGTCTGCCATTCTGCCGGGTTTACATTTTAGGAAATAGGTTATTCACATCAAGTCAGGTTTTGCTTGATGAAGTAACCTTATCGAGGGTGCCTAAAATAAACAGTGAAGAACAGAAGAAGATGTCCTATTTAAAACAGTATCCTTGGCCTTATGAATTCCACAGATATAGATCTATTCTTACACAGTACTGAGGATTTGTATCTGGGCCAGCCTTTTGGGTAGACTGAATAGGTGTGATAAAAGCCATCCCTCCCTTAGTCTATCCTTAACACCTGAGATTCTACCAGGCGAGACTCATTTCTTTTGCTTAAGTCATTTTTTTTATGTTGCATATCCACTGTAGTATTGTAAACTACCTAAGTAATTAGCATCCAACTCTGAATTACCTTAGTCTTATTTTCCAAGATAGCTGTGTAATATGCCTATGCACCATAGCAACATAGCTGGCTTTAACTAGGTTTAAGGTCGGAAGATACCAAAGGCAACCTATTTCTCAATTTTTTTGCCAAGGACAGGCTCTCATCTCCAAGGTAGTGATTATGGGGAAGGCATCCATTTTTATTGGCTTCCAAGTAATGAAGTAAAGGCAGGAATCATTGAGTCCATATAAACAATATTCACAGAAGGGACAAACTATGCTGATTCTTTCATTTGCCAGATGTATTTTGAACAATGTCTGCTATATTCAAGGGATCCTACTTGGCTCCTTGACTAATAGAAAAATCAATCAGATATTATTGAGAAGAAACACATACTTACTAATGTTTTGGCAGTGATGGCCACTAGAGGCCCTTGGGGAGCCATAAACTAGCTTTAATTTTGGGATCAACATTTTCCTTACTGTTTTAGGGTTACAGAGTTTTTCCTGTTTTAAAATTAATGCCAGAAGCCAAGTTCTCTAGAAAAACTCAAAGATACTACTGACACTAGCAAGAAAGTTTTTTCTCCCCCTCAGTCATTTATTTATTTATTTTTTCAATCATTTATTTTGACTGGACTACTAGTTCTAAATTCTCTTTCCCAGCTTATTGTTGGCAGGAAAGTTGAGATTGAACAGGGTCTTTGAATTGTGGGATATTTGAGCTATCAAAGCTTCTATGTTTAAAGGTATTTTGTTAAGTCAGCCATGAAATTAACAAACAAGGTAAGTGTAGAGTGGATTATGTTTTCAATTAGAAAGGTGTCATTTGGTTTTTAACCCGAAAGAAGGTTTTTGCTAGCTCTCTCTCTCTCTCTCTCTCTCTTTTTTTTTTTTAAGAATGGGGATCACTATAAAAATATAAGCGTTCTCGGGAGCACAGAGTGTAGCTGACCCTCCAAATAAAAAAAGGTTTGAAAATGTCAGCTTTTATTATTTTATTTTTATTTATTTTTTCCACATTTATTGAGACTTAATTGACATAAACATTGTGTAAGTTTAAGGCATATACCATGTTGATTTGAAACACTTACATATTGCAGTATCACCACTGTGTTAGCTAACACCTCCATCATGCCTTACGATAACCATACCTTTTTTGTAATGAGAACATTTAAGATGCACTCTCTTAGTAACTTTCAAGTGTATAATACAATGTTATTAAGATAATTACCACGATGTACATTTTAGATCCCCAGAGTCTGTACCCTTTGGCCAGCCTCTTCGGCCAATTTCTCCACCCCCCCCAGCCCCTGGTAACCACCATTCTACTCTGTTTCTGTTAGTCTGGCTTTTTGACATTCTGTGTATATACAAAGTGATACCACAGAGTATTTGTCTTTCTCTGTTTTATTTCACCTAGCATAATGTCCTCAAAGTCCATTCATATTGTTGCAAGTAGCAGCATTTCTTTTCTCATGGCTGAATAACACTTCATTGTATGTATATACGTTTGTATCAAACACAGACACAGAGCACATCTTCTTTATCCATTCATCTATTGACACTTAGGTTGTTTCCATATCTTCGCTACTCTGAAAAATGCTGCAACGAACATGAGAGTGCAGATCTCTCTTTCATATCCTGTTTTCATTTCCTTTTGATATATACCTAGAAGTGGGATTGCTGAATCACTTGGTAGTTCTACTTTTAATTTTTAAAGGAACCACCGTATCATTTTCCATAGTGACTGTACTAACTTACACTACCACCAACGGTGATTTTTTCCAAATCATTTCCAATACTTGCTGTCTCTTAGGTTTTTGATGACAGCCATTTTAACAGGTGTGAGGTGAAATCTCATTGTAGTGTTGTTCTGCATGTCCCTTATGATTAGTGACGTTGAGCACCTTATCATGTACCTGTTGGCCATTTGTATGTCTTCTTTGGGAAAACTGTCCATGTCTATTCAGTTCCTCTGCCAATTTTTTTGATCAGATTGTTTAAATTTTTTTTTGCTGTAGAGTTGTATGAGTTCTTTATATATTTTGGATAGTCACCCCTTATCACATATATGATTTTCAAATATTTTCTCTCATTCCGTAACTTGCTATTTATTTTGTTGATGGCTTCTTGGCTGTGCAGAAACTTTTTAGTTTGATATGGTCCCACTTACTGATTTTTGCTTTTGTTGTTGTGCTTTGGTGTCATATCCAAAAAATGGCTGCCAAGACCGATATCAAGGAGACTTTCCCTAGGTTTTCTTCCAGGATTTTTATAGTTTCAGATCTGATGTTTAATTCTTCAATCCATTTCAAGTTAATATTCACGAGTGGTGACAGCCAAGGGTCCAGTTTCATTTTTCTTCATGTGGTTATCCAGTTTTCCAAACACCATTTATCGAAGAGACTATTCTTTCCCCATTGCATATTCTTGGCTCCTTTGTCAAATCTTAGTTGACCGTATATGCAAGGGCTTATTTCTGGGCTTTTGATACTGATGGGATTTTGGAGTGATGGTGGGGATCAGGAGCCAATGGCCCAGAAAGAATTCTTGAGACATCTTTGGTGCAAAAAGGTGATTTTATTAAAGCATGGGGACAGGACCTGTGGGCAGATAGAGCTGCATTGGGGTTGTGAAGAGTGACTGGTTATATACTATGAAGATGGGGGAGGTAAAGTCAAAAGGGAGGCCTCCAGAAAGACGTTGATATGCTAAAGAGGACTCCTAAGATACCTGAGGCTTTGCTATTGTCAAGCTAAGGTTATTTTCCCTCTAGTAAGGCATTAACATTAAGACAGCAGGGAGTTCCTGGAGAAATGTTCTACTCTGTATTTGCTTCAAGTATTTGTCAATGGGCTGCAGGTTATAAAGAAATTTAATGTCATTTATATTTTCTTCTTCTTTGTTCCCCATATCACTGCGGAGGGGAGGGTGATGTTAATGCTCCAGGAAACTGAGTCAGTCTATGCGTTTCTGGAGGCTAAGCTATTGATAAGATTACCTTTTTCTTGTAATTTACTAAGACATCTATAAACTGATGGAGACTCCTGTCCTGTGTCGCATGACTGTGAACTCTATCAGTTAACCACTGGCTTTTTTTTTTTTTTTTTTTTTTTGCCTTTGTTCTTGGGCAGCCAGGAGTGCCTGAGGAATATCACGCATATCCCACCTGGGGGAAGGGGGTATTGTTAGGTAGTGCCCAGCCCTCAGCTTGCCTTATGCTCTCTCATCAATACTACTCCAGTGGTATGTGTATGTGTCTGCTTTTATGCCGGTACCACCCTGCTTTGTTATAGCTTTGTAGTATGGTTTGGAATCAGGAAGTGTGATGCTTGCAGCTTTCTTCTTTCTGAGGATTGCTTTGGCTAATCTAGGTCTTTAGTGTCTCCGTACAAATTGAGGTTTTTTTTTCTTTCTTTCTTTCTTTCTTTTTTTTTCGTGAAAAATGCCAGTGGAATTTTGACAGGGATTGCATTAAATCTGTAGATGGCTTGGGGTAGGATGGGCATTGTAACAATATTAATCTTCTGATCCATGAACATGGGATGTCTTTCCATTTGTGTCCACTTTAATTTGTTTCATCAAAGTACTGTAGTTTTCAGTGTATAGATCTTTCACCTCCTTGGTTAAATTAATTCCTAAGTATAAAGTCCCACTTTTACACTTGAGCACACTTACTGGAAATTTTTGATAAATCACTTGACCACTATGTTAGGTTGTTAAAAGGCTTTTAAATGCTGTGTTTATTATGCAGGGAAAAAGGAAAGGGCTACTCAAGAGAAGTCAAGCTGTAAAACTCCTGTGCTGCTACCAATTGTTTAATAAGCAAGCTTAAATGTTGTATCCATGTTCAAGCACATGCCTGTCATGGGGCAGGGGGAAGGGGATTTGCCGCTGGAAGGAAAGAATTTCCTCTTTCTGATGGGGAAATTATGAGTATGTCATAGATGAGCTTATTTTATTTTTTTCTTTTTCTTTTTGAGTTTGGCAATAGAGAAGTAGTTGAGTTCTTGACATTCTCTGCAGATAGTCTGTAAATGAAAACAGTAGTCTTTCTCCAGGAGTTAGTTGTTGACAAGAGTCGATAGCAAGAAGGTAAGGAACCAGATTGGCCGGCACTAAGGCACTAGCATGGGAGAAGTGGGTATATCCCAAAGGACCGGAAAGGAATGCTGTGATGATTTTGTAATCCCAGTAGGGGCAGAGGACCAGGTGAGTTCAAGCAGAGAACCGAAACAATGAAAGATCAATGAGAATGTTCTTAATTTTATTCACGTGTTTTGGTTTCTTTGCATTCGTATTTAAAAACTCTTGACAGTGCTTTGTAATAGGTGTGCCCGTCTGTTTTAATGCAGACATATCTTCGTACAGAAAGTGAACCGTCACTTTCTAGTGAATTACGACGGAGGGCTTTCGATCGGCCACACTCAAGGCCACCCCAAGGCATTGCAGTTTATCAATCCCCTTCTTTTTTCCTGGGGAAGAACAATTAGGAGGCAGCACAGTGGTTTTAGTAATTACGATCTTGAGAAGCCATGGAGTGGTCGCAAATACTGCAAAGCTACCCACGCCCCTGTCTTGGAGCAAGTTATAATTTCCTGGAGAGCAAGTTTAATAGAACGCAAATGATGCCACTAGCTTTGTAGATAACACATTTTCCTTAGGTAGATCTTGGTTTCCATAGAAATCGGAAGTGTTTCCCACTTTGGAACAAAGGGTAGTCGGCACCAAGATAAGTAACACCACTGGCCTTTCTAGGTGTTTCACAGTTGTTTTGGTTTTTTAAAAACTGTGCTTTCCCCCCCACCCCCCATCCCTTTCTGTCGTTTAGAAAAGCAGCTGGACCTGGCATCAGTGGACCTCTCAAAGATGAGAGTAGCGGAGCTGAAACAGATACTGCGCAGCTGGGGCGAGGAGTGCAGAGCCTGTGCGGAAAAAACCGACTACGTGGATCTGATCACAGAACTGGCCCCCAAGTATGCAGTGGCGCCCCCCAAACCAGAGCTCTGACCCTCGGGCGCCGCCGACGCGCCCTTGATGGGAGACACAGTGACTCTCCAGGATACGGACTTGTGGGTTAGGAGTAACCGGGAGCTGTGCTGTATGTGGTCTCATACTTTTCGTTTTGCTAATACAACCAATCAAGACTTGCTTACGGGGGTTGTAATTAAAATGTAATATCAGTGGCATCTTACATTTGCAGTGTGCGAAAACCTGAAAGTGCCTTTCTCATAATGTTTGGGAGGATTGTGTGTATGTCATCGTCCGTTTCCTTAAAATTGGGAAACGCGAACGACTGAAAAATGGATGAAGTTGAGTCCAAGAAGGAAGACAGTGCCCAGACGTCCCCCCTCTGTGCACTAATTTTTAATTAAATATATTGGTTTACGGTAAAAGAACAATGTTTGGTTTACCTAACTCCCACCTTCAACCCTAAGCAATAACACGGCATAATCAAAAGGTTTTAAAGAGTAAACTGTGTATTTTCTTTTTTTTTTTTTTTTTACTTTTTTTTTTTTCAACGTTTATTTATTTTTGGGACAGAGAGAGACAGAGCATGAACGGGGGAGGAGCAGAGAGAGAGGGAGACACAGAATCGGAAACAGGCTCCAGGCTCTGAGCCATCAGCCCAGAGCCTGATGCGGGGCTCAAACTCACGGACCGCGAGATCGTGACCTGGCTGAAGTCGGACGCTTAACCGACTGCGCCACCCAGGCGCCCCTAAACTGTGTATTTTCAACTGCACAGCAGTCTACATTCTGGCTCTGTTTGGTATCAGATGTGGGAGGGCAGGAGGCACTACTTGAAATGAGGGTTTCCCAAAAGAATACCTATTTAAACCTACCGAAAGAAAATAGATGGAGAATCCAAGCAAGTATAGCCAACGTTTCAGCAAACCGTATCAACGCTCAGGCTGTTGATTGAACCAAGCTCAAGGTGTTTTCTACTCCTTTCTACCACGTGTTAGACAAGCTTTTGCCAGAGGGCTAAAGCCTGGGAAAAGGGCGGGCAGGCAACATAGAGCTCTGTGGTTCTTTATCAGCTGTCAATTGTAAAATCGTTCTTGGCTCTATTTTCTGGCCACTAAGAGCAAGAACCCCAGCGTACAGAGGCTGACCCCTGCGTGGAAGGTGGAGGCAGGGAAGGCCTGCACAGCAGCTCAAGGGAACTTTCTGGGGTGACGGGAATGTCGTATATCTTGACTGGGGTGGTGGTGACATGGATGAATATGACTGTGAAACTCATCCAGTAGTATAATTAAGATCTGGACATTTTATTGTATATAAATTTTATCTAAAATACTGCTTTAAAAAAGTATTTGAAAATTGCCTGGACTTACTGATTCAAAACGTCTCGCTCATTTAAAGAATTGGGTTTACAGGGGTGCCTGGGTGGCTCAAGTCGGTTGGGCCTTGGACTTCAGCTCAGGTCATGATCTCACGGTCCGTGAGTTTGAGTCCCGCGTCGGGCTCTGTGCTGACAGCTTGGAGCCTGGAGCCTGCTTCGGGTTCTGTGTCTCCCTCTCTGCCTCTCCCCATCTCATGCTCTCTCTCTCAAAAATAAATAAAACTGGAAAAAAAATTTTTTTAATAAATAAAGAATTGCACTTACTGGGAGTCATTTTGGTGAGTGGAGGAGAAATTTACCAGACTGAATGTATATGTTGAAAGTATAATTTTCAGGTTCAAATGCTGCACAGCTAAACAAATTTTCAGTTGGGCAGCTAGGACATAACCAAACTTGTCAGAGAAATGGTGGTTAGTAACTTAAAATTGAGTATAAAAAAACTTTAGTGTAATACATGGCCAAAAGAGTTCCTGTTTCTGAATTTCAGCAGCTTGATCATTATGTGTACATGACTCTACCTTATTATGAATTATATTCTTAAAAAGCCCAAATTTAGGTGTTTACCTTTTGTAACCTTTATATTTGTTTTTCTTTAGTGCATTTGAGAAACTTATCATTTGAAAACAGAAACTTATCATTTGAAAGTAGTTTGATGTCTGAATTCAAAATCAGGGCATATTTTTCAGTGTCATTTTTTCAGGATATAAATCTAGGTAATAAGAACATGGCCCAGCAGTTCATTCAAATCCATGATGTTTGGTCTGGCTTTTCAAAGAGCATTTACTCTATGTTAGTGCCACTGAAACTTTCCAACTGTGCACAGAAGTCACCCGGGGGGGATCTTGTTAAAATGTGGACTCTGATTCAGGAGGCC